GTAAGGCGGTCGTGAGTTCAGTTTAAGGTGATTTAATATAGATAAGAAGAGAGAGAAAGGCGTGGCGTCAGTCGAATCAAAGCAAGAATGTTGAGTAGGGTGATAAATAAGGAAGAGAAAATCAGATGCGGTGGGGACGCGATGAATTAAAAGTGGAGTTGAATTTGAATGTGAAGAACGGAGGTGAAGAAAAAAGCACTGGTAAGGTTTAGACAAGCGACGAGAACGCACGAGTTGGCTGTATCATAGTCCGCGAACGGCTCCGTCGGCGACTTCCAGTCGTGCCAGGGGCGCTCGTGACGCACCGCCGTGAGCTGTATCGGAGATTTTTTAACACAACGGCGGATGCATTTCTTTCAAATTGGCACCCACCATCGGCCACGGCTCCCGCCCCTCGCTCAACCCCCCATTCTCAAACGCCCGACTCCACTTGAGCGACGCCGGGTCGACCCGCCCTTTCCCCGGGGTGCTCCCGAGCAGCCAGAAATACGCTGATGTGAGCGTCGAGTACACGTCAATCACACACACCTCCTGCCCGTTCGCGCGTTTCTCCTGCAACGGGCCGAGGAGCGCGGCCAGCCCGCCTTCGGCCGCGGCGACCTTGTTCATGCCGCCCGTGCTGAGAGGGTGGGTGCCTGCGATGTGCTTGAAGTGCGTTAAAAGGGGACGCGCGGAGAGGGGCGCGGTGAGGGGCGGGGTGAGTGGGAGGGTGTACATGCTCGCTACGCATTTAATCGTATTTAGCTTGCGTTGGGAGAGGAGGAGTAAGGAGCACATACCGAGGCCCCAGCACGCGCCGGACACACCCGCGGCGTAGGTGATATTCGGCCACAGTCCGAGCTCTTGGAACGCGATGATGGTGGTGATGAACCCGCTATCCAGACGCTTCAACGAGGGAATTATCGGGAAACGGGATACCTACAGATTCGCGCGCATCCCGCCGCCGCTTCCACCCAAGCCGAGCTATCAGTGAAGGAGAACTTCTCAGTACGCAGAACCACGGAACGGGGAAACAAGCAGACAATCGGCACATCGCGCGGATCCATCTCCGTGCCTTCTTCCAGGCCTAAGAACGCTGCCAGACTGCCCGACTCGGCGATCCGCTTCACGCGCGCGTCGAGGAAGCCGAGCTCTTCCGGCGTGAGCGCGTTGTAGCGCCGCAGGCGCGCGGGGTCGTGCATGTGCGGCGAGAGTGCGGGATCCTCTTCATGCTTGTGCGACAGGAACTTGATCACCTCGCCGGCGGAGGTGAGGGTCGCACTCAGCTTGGAGAATACTGCGCAGATTCAGAGATCCAGAGATAGCGCAATAGAAAACTAAAGGACGAACTGCCGCTGAGTCCATGCTCCTTCTCTTGCTCATCGTGTTCAGTTCCTACGTCTCTCATCCATCACTCAAACGCGGTGACCAAAAGCATGCCACTTACCGTGCTCCGAATCGCTTTCTGTCTGCCAAAAGTACGCAGTGTTGCCGTTCTTTTCTTTCTCGAGCCCACGGAAGGCCGTTTCCTGAGATTCCTGAGTATCGGTGCGCACGCTCATGGCCGTTGCGAGAGACAAGGAACAGCAGATGAACGCCCAAGATAGAGAATCTAGATCACTGGCAGATAGAAGGCGTTCGATGTCGAACGTGCGCGCCCCGTTCAACGATTGGCATGTTGCCGATTTTGTCCGCTCGTGTCCCGATTCCATGAGTACAAAAGTAGAAATGGCGTCCAGAGTCAATGCTTTTCTTTCCTTGCGCTGAGTTTCGTCGAAAAGGTTATCTGACGCACGTACTGAAGAGGGAAGCGGCCGGCCCGCAGGATCCCGTGCATCCGACAATGTCCGAAACCCGATCCTTTCCGGCCGATGTTCAACTCAAATTCAAGTTCAACGTGGAGGTTACAAGAATCGGAAATTCAAATGAATAGGAATTTAACCCCGAAAATGGGGATTGGAATGGGAAAGCAGTTTCGCGGGTTGCATGGCTGCTGGGGAGAAAAAGAACTGACATATGGCCCGGGCCCGAGTCGAACAGGGTTCTTCTGTAGTACACCAAAGGGTATCAAACTGTGCAAGTTGTACAGATGCACTCCGAGTACTACCAAGCCCTTCCCCTTGCACATCCTGGCAAGATAAGTAGTACTGGACTCAGCGGAGCTCAATTTAAAATAGATGGTCCAGCAACTTCGAAGCCTCAGTACTCCACTTGCTTGAAAGAAGGGATGGGATCAGAAAAGATCTCTTTGTGTTCATTTTGGTGCAAAATACCAACAAGTTGGAGTCAATGAAAAAAACATACTATGACTTCAAATAATGATAGCCCAGGTCTATGGCGGTTTATGTGCACATTTAATAAAACCAGGTGTATTTTCCCATTTCTGTGGTTTTTTCGTCTTTTTGAGCACATGTATAAGTTTTTTGGACTCCTCAATCTTTTAACTCGCTGTGTAGATAGAATTACCATTTGGACAATTTTTATGACCATACTAAAAAGTTATAATCAAGTTCAAAAAGAAAGTTTCTTTTTTTTCAAACTTTTTCTTTTCTTCTTTCAACATGATTTTTTGAACATGAGTGTTTTTTTTTTTGAGAAAGAACTTTCTTTTGTGTTCAACACGAAACTTTGTTTCTCCAGACAAAATAAGTTCTGTTGGGTGGCTGTGCTAACCCTAATATGATGGCCGTGCGGCCCGTTTGCTCCCTCATCCCTGTGCAGATTCTTCTGGACATGGAAAATCGGCAACACCACGGGCAGTGTTGATACTTGCCTGCCTCGTGGCCAGGGGCCGATGGACCCGTGCACGGCACAGGCTGGTGTGGATTTGTGCCATACTTGGCATCAACACTGAGCACACCCTTCAACAGGACCTTCAGAACGTAGCAGACCAGGGGTGCAGGTGCTGGCGCCATTACACCTAATACAGATGTCCTTCGGGACATGGCTGCCCATGACGACCGTAAACATTGCAGCACTGCCGGCGATGCCGACGTACAAACAGCCGTTGAACGGGCCACACGGCCATCATATTAGGGTTAGCACAGCCACCCAACAGAACTTATTTTGTTGACAGGAGAAACAAAGTTTCGTGTTGAACACAAAAGAAAGTTCTCTCTCAAAAAAAAAACACTCATGTTCAAAAAACAATCATCTTGAAAGAAGAAAAGAAAAAGTTGGAAAAAAAAGAAACTTTCTTTTTTTGAACTTGAGTATAACTTTTTTAGTACGGTCATAAAAATTGTTCAAATGGTAATTCTATCTACACAGCGAGTTAAAAGATTGAGGAGTCCAAAAAACTTATACATGTGCTCAAAAAGACGAAAAAACCACAGAAATGGGAAAATACACCTGGTTTTATTAAATGTGCACATTGACCGCCATAGACATGGGCTCATGTGTAGCTTGTACAAATCCAAGGACATCTGTAATAAGCTAAAAACAAAAAAGGTGCTACTTTCATATACAATGAGCCAGCTCGAGTCAATGAATGCAGATGAGTTTGAGCTGAAGGAAATTTTAACAAGACGGTCTCGAGCAACCTCGAAGCCTTGGGACCCCACTTTGACAACTCCCACTTTAGAAGTTGAGATCGGGAGCATAAACGACCTCTTTCTTGTCTTCATTTTGAGTTAGGATCCCAAATATATGTAATTGGAGCTAGGGAAGAAAAAAGGGTGAATCACACAACTGTAGTGGCCCAGGACCGAGCCGAATGGACCTACACAATATGAGCAAGCAGTAACATTTCACGGAGCTCCGAGTGCTACCATCACATTCTGTGCCTAGTTTAAGCTCTGTTATATAATATTCGTATCTGAACTTGAGGAAGCTAAGTGGATACAGGTTTTCTTAGATCAGACAATTTCGAGAGTTGAGGTTCATGGATTCCGGGATATTTGTAGCTAGTGAAGAACAATGAAAAAGTTTTAACCATATTGGATGATGGTCCGGGCCCGAGTTTAATGGGTTGTGTAACGATGTACCCAACATCCACCACAACTAGCTTTTAGCGGATGTGCTCCAAGCACTCCCATACCTACCTACCCATTGCTCTCTCTCGTGTGTAGCTAGGTTCTGGATCATTTCTACTGGAATAAAAAAGAGTTTGTCAGCCATAGAAGTCATGTATGGGCCTGGGCATGAGTCGAACAGGGATCTCCGCATTCAAGAATGAAGTTCCTTCTCACACCGTAAACTTGGTGGAGCAACTGTGAGCGCTACCAGGCTCTAGTGCTTGCATAGGCAGGTCAGATAAGTAGAGACCCTCTAGATGTGGGTAGGCATCATGTATCACGGAGTACTTGGTTGAAACAGTACAGCATACTCATTCATTCTAACAGGTGAAGAAGAGTATGGCTGTATCAATTGATAGGATCTTGAAGAGACATTTTGAGAAAATGGTTGAGTCCACTCTTGAAAGTGAGTAAGTAGTACGCTCTTAAAATGACCCAGACTTTTGAAGAAGGAAAAAATGACTATTCTTGATGCGCTATGGCTTAGTCCCGAGTCGAACAGGATCATGAAAACAACCACCATATGATAAGCAGATGTGCTCCAAGCACTACCAAGCCTTAGTCCCAAGGTTCCTTCCCTCTTTTGTACCAGTGTTACCAGTAAGTTAATCTTTCAGAGCAAGAAAATGGAACCTGGGAGCCTTTTAATGGCTTGGGCCCGAATTGAACAGGCTTTTCTGCGAATTTGAACACTGCAGTGAGGTGTACAAATAGGGAGCAGAGGCACTCCAGGTGCTACCACGCTGTCCTTTTCTCTTGATCTGACCCAGGCCAGTGTGTTGGAAGTGAATCTGAAACAGAGGGAAAAATAGAAGGAATGGTGGAATGGCTTGGACCTGAGTCGAACATGCTAATGGATAATACTGACCATATCATGATGAGCAGATGTGCTCCAAGCACTACCAAGCCTTATTGCCCTCTCTGATACTGGGTATTGGCCTGTAAGTTTGATCACAAAGGGAATCTTTGAATGCTATATAAAAAGAATCGGAGAAGCTGGCTGTATGGCCTGGGCCCGAGTTGAACGGGCTTCTTCTGCAACACCACTGTCTGGCACACGAATAAGGAGCAGATGCACTCCGAGTGCCACCAAGCCTTGCTGCTTCCTTCTCTTCCCACTGTAAATGAGTGTGTTTATTGCAATAATAAGAAAAAGTAGACTCAGACAATTTGATGGCTTAGGCCCAAGCTCTAAGTCCCTGCTAAATGTAATAATGTCTAACAAGGAGATGTGCTGATAATCCCTGCTAGACTTTTCCTGAAGTATTAGACAGGATGCGCAAAGCCGCATGCGGCTTTTTTGGCGCACAAGCTCACCGCATGCGGCTTACTTTGGAAGGGGATTTGGTGGTCAGACGGCGTCATTCAAGACTCCTAGTGATGGCCAAGAGCCAAAACATTATATTGCCGTGTGCGGCTCTGAAACCCGCATGCGGCTTTTGCGCATCCTGTCTATTATGAGTGTACTAAGACTTCAGTGAGTAGAGGGAGAAAAAACAGTTTGGAGCTCGAATGGTTTGGGCCCGAGTTGAATGGGCTTCCTTCTGCTAATCATGCTAAGATATCAGGAACCAAATAATGTGCAGATGCACTCTGAGTGCTACCAAGCCTTCTCGTTATCTCCTGGTCCTTTGCTAGATGATGATTGCTAGTTGTGAGTGCAGCTGCAGTTTAGGGTGAGAGTGAGAAAAAATGTTGGAATCCAGAAACCAGGGCTTAGGCCTGAGTCAAAGAGGCTTCCTTCTGATGTACTAATCAAGTTACTACCCACTATGTAATGATAAGCAGATGCACTCCAAGTGCTACCCACTGGATGAACACTCCAAGTGTTTCAGTGAAAAGATTGAGGAAAAACTTCCTTCATTTTTCAGACTTTTTTCACTGAAAAATAGTGAAAATTTTATAACTTTTTCAGCACTTTGTAATACCAGGGTGAAAAAAGAATTTTTCACTACTTTTTACAGTGAAGAAAGTCTGAAAAATAAAGGAAGTTTTTCAGCAATACTTTCACTGAAAAACTTGAAATGTTCATCCAGTGACCAAGTCTTCCTACTTCCTTCTCTTCCCACTGCAAATGAGAGTGAAATGTACTGTGATGGCTTGAAAAAGTAGATTCGAACGATTCGCGATGGCTTGGGCCCGAAATAAACAAGATCCTTCTGCTATACTAAGCATAATCTTCAAAGACGGGTCAATGCACTCCAGGCACTACCAAGCCTTGCTCATTGTAAATTTATTCAAGCCAAAGTTGATGAGGAAAAGTGATTTTTTAAAAGGTGATATAATTTCCCGAGAAAAAGGAGCCAAAATTTCCATGGCTTGGGCCCGAGTCTATGGCGGTCAATCTGCACATTTACAGCTAAGGTCAGTACCGAAGGGCGCGAATGGAAATTTCTTGTTTTGGGATGTTTTCAGAGAATTGTCAGTAACTCAATCAGTTCTGCACTGATTCAGATGAAACCTAGGTAGATATGCCAGGCTAATTCAAGCGCAATTAGTGATAGAAACGAGTTTGGGAAAATATTATCTATTGGGCAATCTGTGGTTTCGGGCTGCTTTCGGGCTGAATGCTGTCTAGCATGCCCAGAACATGTCCCAGTGACCTAATATTTTGAGACAGACAACATGTATACCTGCAACAATATGTCATAGAACCAGAAGTAAAGATAATTTGGTTTTACTCTTGTAGCTGCATTGGAGAATTTTGGCAGCTTTGGCATTCAGAAATATTGTATGGATTGCATCGATCTATTGTTTTTATATGATTCTTGCCCCATGACAAGTTTCCCCAGGCATATATTCTGTCCTTCTCAAAATATTAGGTCACTAGGGCATGTTCTGGGCATGCTAGACAGCATCCAGCCTGAAAACAGCCGGAAACCACAGATTACCCAATAAATAATATTTTCGCAAATTCCTTTCTATCACTAATTGCGCTTGAATTAGCCTGGCATATCTACCTAGGTTTCATCTGAATCGGTGCAGAACTGATTGAGTTACTGACAATTCTCTGAAAACATCCCAAAACAAGAAATTTCTGTTCGCGCCTTTGGTACTGATGTTAGCTGTAATAAAAACAGGTTTTTTTTCACCATTTGAGAGTTTTTTTGGTGCTTTTGAGCATATGAACAAGTTTTTGGGGCTGTTGACAGTACCTGATTCTTTTAGCCCACCATCATGATAGTTTTCTCTTTTGAGCATATTGTTATATCCGTGCAGCCTCCCTCTGACGTCCGGCCAACTCCTGGCCCTCATCCGCCCCCTCTGGTACCTCCGGTACCGCCGGAGCTCCGGTCATTGACCGGGGCCTCTGGACGTCTGTGTATCATCAGGTTTTTATGCAATGAAGGATTACTGAGCGTTTCCTGTTTATCCGTCTTCTTATCTTCTTCCTTATTGTCTTAGGGCTTCACATCACTTCCTCCAACACGCTCTATTGTTTAGAACCACCCTCCTTCCTATTATGGAATACAATTAGCTACTTAGTATATATATCACTTTAATACGTCTTGTACTTCAGATTGATAATTAACGTTGCTTGGCTCTAACTCCTTGCACTGAGTCGCCTTTGCACTTCTCGTCCTCCTCTGGTACCTCCGGTCATCGTCCTCTATACCGGACTACCTGCCGGTCAAGGTAGTCGCTCACCCTTTACCCCCTGTGGTGTTGCGATCACTCATATACAGCCCGGACCCTCTGTCGGACCTCCGGTACCTCCGGCATCTCCGGTCCTTCGTCCCCGGCTCGGTATATAACACATATTTTATGTCCATAGTCGAAAGTTATACTGAGATTCAGAAAGAAAGTTTCTTCAGTTGCAAGTTTTTCTTTCTTTCTTACAACATGATTGTTTTTTGAACATGAATGTTTTTTTTTTTCTGGAGTGAACAACTTTCTTTTGTCAATGCGAAACTTTGCTTCTCGGTCCGAGAAAGTAAGTTCCGTTAGGTGGCGGTGCTGACCCTAATTTGATGTCTGTATGGCCCGGCCACTCAATTGCCGTTCGTGTCGTGCTTGCCCCACTGCGGCAGTAACAGCAGGTGCGCGCTCACACCGCATAAACATCTGCGCTTGGGTTTCAATTGGAAGTGTTGGGCTCCCGGTCCACATGGGAACAACACAAAGACCTCAAACCTTGAAGCAAGGGTAAGAATTCCTGTATGCAGTTCTCTATCTTCTGCCAGGACTCCAGACGAAAGCATATCCACAGAGATTTCCGCATGCGATGGCCGTAATCCAAGATTGAGTGTTTGAACGTACGGTGCAAGATGTGGAGAATGAAGTAAGAGCTTGTGGAAGGCCTGAAATATGCCTGATGATGGCATACCCAGAGGTGGGAGATCTGTGAGGCCTGGTGTGAGCCTGTTCTGCAGACCATGACCAAGTGAAACAGTGCAGAAAAGGCCCCCTGCCTGGGCAGGATGTCTCCAGGAACTGTGTACCAAAGAGGAGTTGTACAACACAGAGAAATCATCTATAAGGAACTGCACAGTGTTGGCAACAAGCTCTGGGAAGTGCGGCAAAGGCATGGGCGCAGGGGACTTGAAGAATGAGCCAGGGGCTGGCCATACGGGATCAACTTAGGGTTAGCACCACCACCTAACAGAACTTACTTTCTCGGACCGAGAAACAAAGTTTCGTATTAACAAAAGAAAGTAGTTCACTCTCGAAAAAAAAACATTCATGTTCGAAAAACAATCATGTTTTGGAAAAAAAAAAAAAGTTGAAACTGAAGAAACTTTCTTTCTGAACTTCGGTATAACTTTCAGGTATAGGCATAAAAACTTGCTCAACAGAGAAAACTATCACGACAGTGGGCTAAAAGAATTGGGTACCGTCAACGGCCTCAAAAAACTTGTTCATCTGCTCAAAAGCACCAAAAAAACTTCCAAATGGTGAAAAAAACCCGTTTTTATTAAATGTGCAGATTGACCGCCATACGAGTCGAACAAGCTTCCTTCTGCTACAAGTGTACAAACAAAGTATTTCTATGGTAAGCAGATGCACTCCAAGTGCTACTAAGCCTTCCTACTCCCTTCTCTTCCCACTGTAAATGCCAGTGTTTATTGCAATGGCATGAAAAAGTTGAGTCAGACGATTCCTAAGGCTTGCATCAGACTTTTGACAATTAGCTTGTGAGCTTGTACAAGGTCAAAAAAGGCCAAAAAAGGGCCAAAAAGGTCGCAAGTTGGCAAGGTCACAAGGCTATCTTTTTTTCTGACAAGGTCGACGGTTCGACTCCTTTGGGTAGCATAAATTTGATTTGATTTTCATGTTTCGGTACAGGACAGTTCTGAAAATTTGCATGGGGCATTCTACATACATCCTCCAGATGTTTGAGACATTATCTCATCTTGTTTTGCATTTTCGGAGGGGTAATTTTTCGCCCTTGGACCTTGTGAGCTTGGCGACAAGCTCACAAGGCCAAACAAGCCGCAATCAAATTGTTAATTGGCTGATGTGGGCCCAAGTCGAACAGGGGTCTCTTCTGTTAATGCGCATAACCATGCTACTATGGTGAGCAGATGCACTCCAAGTGCTTGTTATATCCATGCACGTTCCAACATTTTCTTCACAGCTCCGGTTTGTCCGGAGCTTCCCGGAGGTCACCATCACTTCCGGTGACATCTCGTTTCAAAGGATTACTAAGCCCATTATAGCCACTCCTTCATTACGACCCTCCGGGCCTCCGGGACCATTGGTCTTTCCCGCAGAGTCATTCTGCTCATTTCCACCTTCCGCATCCTCCGGCATATCCGCCATTCCATTCCCTTCCATTTCCGGCATCTCCGGCACAGCCACTCCGGCCTCCCTTTCTCGTGGACTCCTAAAGCTCGATCATCATGCCTTCCGATCCTTCGAGTCCCTCCGGTCTGGCTTGTCCACTCCCCGGGGATGTTCCCACGCTTCCGGACTCCTTCCGGCCTCCAGCCCCTCGGAGCCCTCCGGTCAATCCCCACTTAGATTGATTACGAAGCTCATCCTTTATTCAGCCTTCCCTGACCAATCGGTTATTTCCGCATTGTCCTTACAGTCCTTTCCACCTCCACATTCCTCCTGGTTTCTTCCGGACACATTCCCATGCTTGCAGGCCTT